ACAAACAATATGACACCGTGCTTAATTTGCAAGGAAATCATGCCAGTTTCCAGTACATACAATTTGAAATGACATTGTATGCAGAAACATGATCCCAAATGTGATGCGCATCAAGCAATAGTTTGTAGAAACAAAATTGCAGAACTGAAAGAAGTCTCGCGTATGTTTTGTTTTTTTTAAAGTGTAAACTCAAATGGACTCGGTCATAAAAGCTATTTAAGTGACAGAAAATCTGACTGAAAGAAAAAATTCAATGCCATATCCCAATGGTAAGTTTATTAAGCAATATCAGCTTGTCTTACCAGCCTACAGCTAGATGAACTGAAGAAGCAGGGAATTCTCTGGAAAAGAATTGGAAAGAAAAGCTCCTAATTTAAAGTTTTGTGTTGGTGATAAATGGAAGTACTGACATAACAGTTAAGGCTTGACGTCCCAATTTGGTTGGAGGTATTGATAACAAATATAATGTCACTAAAGAAATGGCTTTTTAGGTGCCACTGAAAGACGACAAAATCTATGATATGTATGAAGAAAATAAATTGAAGGGATTTGCTCTAGCCTTTGTCAGCATATCTGGTATTGCTACTGATGGTGCCTTGGTGATGGTAAAAAAAAAAAAAAAAAAAAAAAAAGAATTAGAAAATTAATAGAAGATGAAGAAGGTAAAGCCTGGTAACTCATGTCTGATGCACTGATATTTCATCAAACATGGAGGCATTTATGTGCAAAAGCTTTAAACATGGATAATGTCACGCAAATCATCATCAAAGCTGTGAATTTCATGAAAGCCAAGGGACTGAATCACCACCAATTCTGGGAGCTCCTTAAAAGCATAGATGCTGATTATGGGGTCATCAATTACTTTTTGGAAGGAAAGTGGATGAGCTGGGTAAAATGCTGAACAGACTTTCTGTTCTGAGAAGTGCTGTGTTTCAGGCAGTAACAGCATTTGAAGTGAAACTTCAGTGAGTTCCCTGGGTGGAGGCAAGCTCAAGTTATGGCAGATAATGTTATGCTTTTTGATACGTTGGGTGAGTGCAGTCCTGTGAGCAGTGACAAATACGTAGATGTGTTTAAATATACATATATATGTAGGAATTTGAGAAAAAGTTTCAAGTTTTCCAAAACAATTACTTTCTCTATTTGCAACTCCACTTTCAGTCGACACGTGTACGCGTGTGGCACGTTTTGAAATGGAATGTATCAGCAGTGGTGATCTTAGGGATCTTTTCAATGACAGTGATTCTAGGAAAAGGGACCTCCCTGTATCTTTCTCAGCTCAATGCGGACTCTGAGCGCCCTTCTCTTTCCCTTAAGCCTTCCGCAGCTGTTGCTGCTGAGCACGACGTTGTCCAAAGAGCGAACCTCGCCGCCCGGACGGCCGCGGCTGACATGGCGCCCGGCGGGCATGGCGGGGCCGGCGCTGGATGGGCGGTGCGGAGGAACGGCCGCCTCCCGGGGCGGGGGTTTGCCGTGTCGCGGCTTAAGCCGGCGCGGTGAGCGGCGGTGCCGCTGCGGGGCTGTCCGCTGGGCGGGGCGCGTGGCGTTGCTTGCTGCCGCGGCGCGCGTGTGTGCGTGTGCAAGAGCCGCTACCCGGTGTGTGGCAGCGACGGGCTCGCCTACGGCAGCGGCTGCCGTCGGCTCACGCGGTCGGTGCTCACAGCACTTCTGAGCGGGAGCTCCGTTCTTCCCAAGGCTTTGCTTAGAGTCGGTGCTCTAGATGCAAGTGGTTCTGCTGCGGAGCCTCCGCTAGGAATCCTGGTAGCGTGGGAGAGCGTCGTTCTGCTGAATTCTCTGCTCCGTGTGCTGTGATAGCACGCAGCAGGGAATGGGGGCCGCCGTGCGAGCAGTGCTAGGCTGCGGGTTGGGCACGCCGGGACTAAGTGTTCCTAGGGGTCTCCTCCAGCCTTCGTGATTCCATGGCAGTGCTCTAAAATCTGCTGGAGCCTTGTTCTCCTTATTAGCATTTATACGGAGCTAGAGACAGAGAAGCAGAGGAGTAAGTGGCTGTACAATACATGTGTCAAACCAGTGAATGCTACTTCCATTGGTTGAAAGGATAAGGAAAAAAACAGGCTTTGCTAAGGCTCTAGCTGGCTGTATTGGCATGCTGTATAGTTTGTATAATTTGAGAAAAGTGGGGGAGGAGGAACAAGGAGATTTGACTACTGGTATCATTAATGGTAAAGCACATTGCACGCTGATAAGCATTCGTAACTACCAAAAAAGTGCAAGTGGTACACAAGTCATCAGAAGGCAGTGGGAAAGGGTGGAAGCTACTTCCCAGTAACATATTGTTGAAGTGATATGTGTTGAAGTGTCTCTGTTTGTGGATATGAACTTCCAGAATGACCCCGAAGTGGGGCTAATGATCTCTGCAACCAGTGAAGCCACTGTGCTAATAGGTAAGAAATCTGAATGGCAGAGAAGTGGAATCTCATAGCAGTAGGATGGAAATCACCTGCTTCTGTCTTGTAAAGGATGGAGATTAATTCAATTAAGATGTCATTTCATTTACCTTCTTTTCCTTTGATCTGCTCTTTAGTCATCTTAGTGCAACTTGTAAGGCTTCTTCAACTTCCAATTGATTTTGTAACAATTAATTGAGCAATTAACTGCATGCTAACTCAGTGATTATCAAGTGTGTTAATTTTGCAAATATCTACAGATCTAAGATGTTATATCCACATTCTCAATTTAATAAGACATTGTTTGGATATTACAGAATTGCTCTGCACTTGAACTAAATATTTCATAGGCAAATTGTAGGATTAGACTTTGGTACACTGAACTCAGGCTTGTTATGCTTCTTCGTTCAAGCCAAGCGCCTAAGGGTGTCTTTTGTCAGTCAAGACAGAGACATCCATGTGCCACTTTAAGCTTAACCAAACGGCACACTGCCAGGTATTGAGTGTTTTGGAGCACAGCCCTCAGGGCTCCAACCCAGGGCCCGTATATAGAATCTTCCATATTCAAATAGCTGAAGCAAGTTTGTTTGCTGACCATGAACATCACCACAAGTTTTCAGTGGTTCCTCTAGTTTGAGGAGAACAGACAGGCTAAGAAATGTTTTCTGTGATTATGCATACGAGCCTCTAACTTCTGCTTCTGCCATCTGAACAACGTTCCTTGGACAACATCCTCATACTTCCAGCAGATGGGTGGTAAAGCTGTCTGCATTCAGCTCCCCGTCTGCCATTTTGTGGCCACCACACTCAGCCCTGAGTAGGAGAAGGGCAGAAGATGCATAGGACCCCAGCTGGGTTTGGAAACCTGCTCTTGGCTGTGCCAGCAGAGACTGTGTGTGTGCCAAGGCAGTGATGCAATAGCATGCTGCCCCACTGAGCGTAGTGCTGAAGATGAGCATTGGTCAGGGAGTGCCCAGGCACTGCCCCTGTGCTGGCGCAGCTCCTCCTCATTGAGCATTTTGGGGCACAGCCCACAGGACTGCAGGCCAGGCCCCCAGGAGGGGGAGGCAGCCCTGTAGTGAAGGGATGGCCATGGCAGCAGCAGGCTGAGAAACCTCTCTCCCCGGGCTGTGCCTCCCTGCCGAGACCTTCCCCGCTTGCTGGGTGCCCACAAAGTCACTGTGACATCACAGACCCAGCATTGACTGCACCAGACCTTCAGACTAGGGAATGTGCAGCGCAGCGCTCAACATGGGGATCTCCCTCGCGTTTATGCTCTGTGTGCTTTTTCTGTTCCCTGCCAGCCTCGGCCATCCCAGCCACCCCTCTTGGGCCACGCTCATGTGGGACATGGCTCCTGAGGACATTGGCCAAATCTCCAACCTGTCCTACTCACAGGGCCACCTTTTGCCCTCCTCCGCCCAGCTGGATGTAAGCGTGGCAATCACAGAGGTGATCTGCAGGAACAGTGCAGCCCTGTGCCTGCTCGGCGGGATGTTGTTTGTGGTCATTTTTGTATGTAGCAAAGCCAGCAGGAGATGGAAGGAGGTGAGTGATACAGGTCAGGCCAGCCCAACAGTGCAACCCAGAGGCCTGTTCTTGTGTCAGTAATGCGTGGGACAAGGAATAACAGCCCCTTAGGCCCCTGTCCCTTTCATCGTGCCCCCTGCACTGTCGTTTCCAGGAGACGAGCCATCCACCTCCAGCTTTCACAGGGACTCACAGCTATGACAGGAACTCCTACAATCTCTGTGAGCAGTTATGCCGGTTAGAAGCAAATGTCATCCTGCTGCAGAAGATAGTGAGGAGACTGCTCCTAAGCTACCCAGAAGCTGGCAGGACCAGAGCAAAGAAGAGAAAGAGGAGAGACGTGGAACAGGAGGAGCATCTCTTCTCCGCCTGCGTGCCCAACCAGAGCTCCAAAGTGGTTCTGGGAGGGAATCAGTATTGATTCTTATGAATGAAGTGTGTGAACTTGAGCAATAGGGATGACTGCCTTGTATTCATCCAGACCTGGTGTGCCTGGCACGTGGTGGAGGCAGAGAGAAGGAAAAAGAACAAGAGATGGAATCAGGAGAGGGGAGCCCTCGCTCACCACCTCCCAGAGGCTCTCTCTGAACAATGGCTCTGTTGGCAGGTGAAACCCACAGGTTTGTCTCCACCCAGGGAGCTCTCAGTGGGTGTTTGATGTAACATGCAGAATGTCATTTTTAAGGCCTAGGTTCAAGTCATTATCGTGAAGTTTGGTGCACCAAAGGGTCCTCAAGTTGCCTTTCTGGGCTTAGCAGTTGTCTCTTGAATGCCTTGCAGTTCAGCGCAAGTTCCTCCAAATTCATTCTGCTGGCCCAACACAGCTCTGACTGCATTTATTTTGCGTTCAGGGACCTCCAAGTGCCTTTCTCTTTGGCCTCAGGATTCTCAGAGTGCTTTCCTTTGACCTGTGATCTCTTTTTTTGATTTGTCTGGGGAGTTGCACGTGCTATTCAGCGCATTGCTTGCATTTCCAAAGTCCTTGTGTGCTCAGTTCAGGGCTCCCCAGTTCATTTTGGTGCTCCAGAGGCCTCCAGAGCCCTTTCTATTCAACCCATGGGCTTCACAGCATCTTTCCACACACCCATTGGTTCTCCGGGTGTCCTTGTGTTTGATCATCTGGATGAGGGAGTTAAACATGCCCTCACTACATCTGCAGATGACACCAAGTTGGAGGAAGCGTTGGATCTACTGCTCATTTCAAATTTTGTCCTTTGGCGATAGATGAAAGTACAGACGTTGCAGATAAGGCACGGTTTGCCGTTTTTGTTGTTGATAACGAAGATAATGTCACGAAATCCCTTCTTTTTCGTTGAAGCGTTCCGCAGGCGTCGCCGCTCAGCAAGGCGTTATACCGACCGCCCTCCTCGCCGGCGGAACGGCCAGTGGAGCGGCGGCCAACATGGCCCCCGGCGGGCATGGCGGGGCGGCGCCGCGTGGGCGGTGCGGAGGAACGGCCGCCTCCCGGGGCGGGGTTTTCCGAGCCGTGCTTTAAATGGGCGCGGGGGGGCCAGGCGGCGTGCCGCCATGGCGTTCCCGGTGTTGTGGGTTGTAGCGCTGCTGACGCCCGCCGTGGCGGCGCTGACGGAGCTGGGGGGCTGCGGACCGTGCGATGCGGCGCGGTGCCCGGCGCTGCCGCCGCGGGGCTGCCCGCTGGGCCGGGTGCGGGACGCCTGCGGGTGCTGCTGGCAGTGCGGGCGCGGCGAGGGCGAGGCGTGCGGCGGCGCCGGCGTTGGCGGCGGGCGCTGCGCCGCCGGGCTGGAGTGCGTGAAGAGCCGCAAGCGCCGTAAGGCGAAGGGCGGCCCGGGCCCCGCCGCCGCCTCCGGCTCCGTCGCCCCCGTCGGGGTGTGCGTGTGCAAGAGCCGCTACCCGGTGTGCGGCAGCGACGGGCTCACCTACGGCAGCGGCTGCCAGCTCCGCGCCGCCAGCCTGCGCGCACAGAGCCGCGGCGAGCCCGCCATCAGCCAGCGCAGCAAGGGAGCCTGCGAGCAAGGTGCGGAGCACGGGGTGGGCGGCGGCGTGCAGCGGGCGTGACAGCGAGCTGCTCGCTTTAGGGCTCCGCGGAGACCCGGTGTCCCTTGCCCGGAGCTGCAGCCGGCGGCTGCCTTGGTGTTAGGCTTGAGTCTCGCTCCAGTAATAGGAAGCGGTGCGGCTGTTCTCTCCTGCTTTCCAGCGCCTGTTAACCGGCACAGCCCCGCTGTTAGTGCTTGTCGGTGTTCTGCCCGCGCCTCGTGTTGTGGGATGCTGTCACACGGAGCAGGGGGGATGGATTCAGCAGAGGAAGATAGCGAGCGGTAAGAAAGATAAACATTCAGCTTAAATGGGTGTGAAAGTCACAGAAGTTAAGAGCCAGCATTGGTGTCACTGCCTTACTGTGGTTTGCCATTAAAACAGGTGGTGGGTTTCTTCTGAGTCACACGTAGCTGTTGGTGCTCACAGCACTTCTGAGCGGGAGCTCTGTTCTTCCCAAGGCTTTGCTCAGAGTCGGCGCTCTAGATACCGGTGGTTCTGCTGTAGAGCCTCCACTAGCAATCCTGTTAGCATGGGAGAGCATCGTTCTGCTGAATTCTCTGCTCTGGGTATCTGTGTTAACAGGTATCTAACGTCCCCCAGCAGTCACTACAAACATGAGCTATTAGGCAGGAGGCTTCTTCTGACCTGCCTGTCTTCAGCAGCTCCCACAAGCCTTCATTCTCTGTCCATGACACTGACAGCTTCTCTGAAGAGGGCCTCAGCTGGGGACAGCTACTGCATGCGCAGACTGCATCCCTTCTTTGGAAGAGGCCCTTCTGGGTGTGCAGATGTCTAGCAGGGCATATGTATGGCTTAAGAATTCTACTGGAATGTACTCCAGCAGTGATGTGATGTGCTATGAGTAAAATGTCACTCCGGGCAGTCGCTCTCCTTTTGAATCCTACTACTGGGAGAGCTCTTACCCAGCATCTCAGAGGAGGGAGCAGGGCAGGAAAAGCGTGGGCTGCTCAGCAGTGGTCCAGCAGAGCCTGTTCTCTTCAGCCTTCTTTTGGCTGCGCAGTCCTTTCTTGCACTGCTGTCCTTCTTCTGGTGGTATGTGTTGCTCTGTGGCTTGCAACTGAGGCCAGGATTCAGCCCACTCACCTGATGCTCAGACATCTGGAAGTACTTGGTAGCCTACAGGGACTCACAGCAATTAAAACTGGGAAGGGGGGGAGAGGTATAATCTCCTCACTGATTTTTGAAACAGTGGCAGGAGATGACATCCATCCCATCAGGCCCTGATGGTACAGCCCTGCAGATAGAAGACAGCACTTTTCTGAATTTTGGGAAAAATATAAATGCTGTGGAAGCTGGATCTCTAGCATGCAATCCCTAGGCTATCAGCTTTGTGTCATTTGGGAACAAGAGGGAGCAGCCTTTCAAGTCTGAGTAGAGATCCAGAAAAAACATATTTGTAGCAGACTGTTATTTCTAGGAGTTATTTTTGGTATTTTGTGTGTGTGTGTGTGTGCGCGCTTGCTTCTTGTTTTGCTTTGCTTGTTTGTTCATTCTATTTGAAAGTTCATCCTGGAGAGGAGGAAATGGAGAGCTCTGACTGCTCTTGGCCTTCATTGTTGTCAGCAGGAAGGGAGGCACTGGGGATGAAGCATCTAGCGGAAGAGAGGAATGTGTCTGTTGTTAGGTGCTCCCCTTCACCCACCCTTGCACCCCATACCTAGGGTGGGATAAAAGATTAGGAGACAGGACACAAAGATGCAAGTGGGGGAAAATGCTGCTGTTCTGCACTTTACTCCATTCTTGCAACTGTTTGCCCAAACCTCACCTTGCAAGTAAAGTGAGAGTGACACTTAACACAGCCTCTTCTGCCTTGAAATGCATCCTTTGTGATGATCGCAGGGATCAGCTGCAGGCACATAGAAGACTCAGGATGCTACTTCTTGTTTAACTGGGATAGCATCTCATACCCATTCTCTTGCCTTGTCTCCCTCTCTGTCCCATGTGTACCAAGTTTTCAGAGAGTCTGAAGGAAGTACACCTCCTGGGAGGGTCAGTTGTATAGGCAACACCATGTGGACATAGTAAGCCCATTTATTTAACTTTTCTTAAATGCTGGTTGACTCTCTTGAACAGTCTAATTTTAAGGCTTCATTAAGTACCTTCCTTCCAGAAGGAAGTATTACAGAGCAAGCTTTCATCACTGCTGCGTAGCCACTTCTATGTGTGCTAAAGTTCAATTTGACTAGTAGTGTCCAACAAAATTTCTCAGACATTGAAATGCACAGGAAGTACCACTTGAATACGTACATTGGGTTTCACAGAGATTTATTTGTGGAGTAAAACAGCCTATTAGCAAAGAACTCGGAAGGAATTATGTAAGGCTTAACATACAAAACTCTACTTAAGATGCACAGATTTCTCAACAGCAGATTTATTTCCAAGGAGCTAGAAGTTCATTAAAATGCTATTTGACAAAGCTGACAAAATACAACTCCAGCTTGCCTACCACGGGGTTTTCTGTGCAACACTCTGCAGTTTTTGCTTGCTATCCAACAGCTGGGAACAACTTGAGGAATGAGCCAGTTCTTGGCTTTACATAGTGTGCCTTGACCTTGTCCTCGTGATTCTTTTTCTGCTGCTTGTTTCCAGACATCCCTAGTCTGACGCCTGTGTCCTTTGTACAAAAATAATGAACCCATGCAGAAAAAAGGATTTCCATAGCAGCCAGAGGTTCCAGCTGGTGGGCAAAGGAAGTCAGCTGAGAAGAGTTTGAGAGGATGCAGGCAACCCTCTTTATACTAGCACTAGGTAGGTGCAGGAATCCAACCAGTCCTCCCTGGAGTGGGTTGCACAGGGGCAGGACCATTGAAGAGGGTTGAAGAAATGGATGTGTGGGAGCCTGTAGAGCTGCTCTGGGTGAGCAGTCAGTGATGCTGTGGTGCTCCTTGTAGCTTGGCTCGTGTTTTGCCCATGTAAGTGCTCTGAGTTGGCTCAGAGGCAAACTGACATCACACAGGTATGCAAGGATGCTCAGGACTGACTCATGACTTCTTTAAATTTTGTCTGCAATTAATTTTGCAGTGCGTGTGTGGAAGCAATTTACAGGTAGCTAAGACTCAGGTCAGGACAGCTATGGTACGCACTGCCATGCAAAGCCACTTGCCACAAGGAATTAGGATTGTACGGCTCATCTCAAGTCAGGCAGAACAAACCCTCAAAGCACAAACCCCTATCAAAATGCGAGAAGGCTTCTTGGTGTGGTAATCTCTCCGAGCTGAAAAATACCAGGCATGCACTTGTTGACCAAACAGCGCAAGAAAGAACAAATCTCTCTGTGTCATTCTTATCGTTAGCTACCAGCAGATGTCTGCTTGAAGGGGCATGTTGTGACTGCTGGAAGTACTTCATTTCAGCCCAGGAATGAAGTCCCTGATACTGATTCCAGCAGGGTTGGGATGTCTGGGTTGCTTCACTGTGACTGTCACAGCTTTCTCTTTCCATAGTGGAAGCCAGTCGCCTTGCACAGATACAACACAAAGCTGGGCTTCAGAGGATGGTGTTTGTCAGGGAATTGGTGCTGGTTTGGACCTTGCTGCAAATGCAGAATGGCCACATGGAATGCCACTTGACCTCATCAGTGGCCTTGGTGCCCCGTAAAGCTGTATCTGCTCTGCGGGTGAATTGTATCTGAGTTCTCACAAGTCACTTTTAAATCAAGAAATATAAATTTCTTCTGCTGGAATGTTTCATCCGAATTCAGCTGTTGAGATTTTGACATCAGTATTTTAATTTTGAGGGTTTTATTTGTTATTTGAAGTTTAGTTGTTTTTTTTTTTTTAATCCATTACCAGAGTAGAGCAGAAACAGATGTGTTTGGGAAAGAATGCTGGGAGGTGACGCACTTTTGTCACTGGCATTGCCTCGTGTTCTCTTGATAGAACTGCATTAAATTCAAAAAGCTTCCAAGTGTCGTAGATATCAGAGATCATAGTTCGTATTAGATCACATTCTGCAAGCAACTGCTCAGGATTTGTGCTTTTTAATTAACAAGTGGCTTAGATTTAGTCCTTTCCTACCATTTTTTCTTCCCTGGGATATAAAGGACTTAAAATAATAGCTGCATTTTATGAGTTCTTTCTTCTTGCTGGTGAAAGAGGATTAAGTAAGGTTTTGCTAAGAGGTTGGAAAATGAACTAAATCCCCTCACTCTTGTGTGAAGCTGGTTTGGGTTTCTTTGGTGGGGGCCTTGTGGCAGTGGCCTGCTGCCCACTTTCTCCCACCACAAAGATGAGCTTTGCATTTGTGGGTGGATCTTGCAAGCATCATCATGCTGCGTCCACAGGTTGTGTGGCACAACAGGTGCACAGTGTGGTTGCACAGGGGTTTTTTAGTGTGCTTTAGGGCACAGAGTGAGGATGTGATGAGGTTTGACGTGGTGCTTGCTTTCCCAGCACTCTGTGCATTGAGATTTTGAGACAGTTGCCAGGGCTGAAATGTTGTGCTTGTATTTTGAAAAATAATCAGCAACTCTGTGGGTTTCTTTCCCACTGTTGTAGATCAGTGCCCTTAATTCCTCCTTAAAAGGCATTTAATTGTCTGAAAAGCTTGGGGTTCACTGAAGTTTAATACACATTAGGTTTTTATGGTTATGGTGCTAAAATCTTATTAGGGAGTCTGTTTAATGTATTACTCAGCAGCTCAGCATATGAGCTGGTATGCTTCTAGGAGAGCACCAGTATGGCTGGGACTGTGCAATGCTTCCGCTGCTCAAGAGGATCCCGTATTTTACCTGTGTCTTCATTCCTAATCACCATAGAAAACTAAAAATCACCAGGAAAGAATGATTTCAGATCAGCAAATTCCTTCCCATGTTTGTTTTTCTGCTGCTGGAAAGGCATGCTGTGTTTAAAAAATGCGTTTAATCCGTTGTTGGACTGAAGTTCTTTGAGGTTCATACTAAACAGGAGATTATCAAGTAACGAGTCTAATCAGGTTGGACTTTTCAAAGCCCTGAGTGCTTTACTGTGAATAAACGCTGCCATGCCTAGTTTCCACATCTCCCAGCCCTCACAGTGCCTAACAAAAAGGCTTTTGGAAGGAGGTGAAAGTGATTTCCTCTTCTTATGCTGAAGTGGGCATCTCCTTTGGGCTGGGCATTCTGTTCTCAGAGCTCTTCCTGTAATTCCTTGGACTCTTCGAGGCCTGGTATGAGGAGGGGGAGAAGTAATATCTGAAGGAGGTAAAGAAGGATGCTTGTAGTCACGCAGGCACTCAAGGAATGGGGAAGGACAGAAAATGCTTATACTTCCCATCTGCTATTGCCTCTCAGTGCTTTGCCCTAAGAAGGAGCAGCTAAGGGCGTGTGAGCTAGAATTAGCAAATGTTCCTTACAGAAGGTTCCCATTCTCCATATAAAGGAATTTTGAAGGGAAAATACTTTCCCAGAACTCGAGAGGTTGTAGTCAGTCTGTTTTCAGGCTTGCAAGAGGTTGCGATCTGTCTAGCTTCTGCTTTGTTGTTGCAAAACGAGTGTTCCCAGTCTGTATCTTATCCAGGGCTCCAGCAAAGCCGTGCAGCACTCAGGGGGGCTGGCTGGGAACCAGGCTGACGCCCACGCTTCGGTGTGTGGTACACTGCTTCATTTGTTTAGTGTTCAGGACTTCCCACACACAACCAATACCAGGGTCCTCAGTGCTTAGCCCCAGGCCCATTTTTGTCTTCAGTGCCTTACCTGCCGCTCCTTTGATTTTTATCAGTGGAGTCGTTGCCTTGGTTGCTGGTGCATGGTTTGTGCATTAACGAAGTCTGTGTCCTTTTATCTTAAAGAATTTGAATGTTTTGCTCAGAGAGGCAAAAGCATGCAGGAAGAGGGAGTGTCTAGCTGGATTCCCAGCTGAGGCTTGGGAAGGACAGCCAAGCCCACCAGCATGCCTGATCTTTGCTCTTTGACAATTCAGTGCAAGGTTTTTGGTGCTGACAGTGGAAGATCAAGAGTTTAAAAGGCTGAATTGCTGTGTATTGACATTATGGAGAGAAGTATCTTTAAGACTTCTCTGAAGGACTTACTGCCTCACAGATTGTTCCATGTGAATTTGGAGTAGCCCTGTGGGCTGTGAGGCTTTGCTTCCCCTGTGGCCAGGCACTTGCCCCTCAGTGGCTGTAGGATTGTCCCTGTGTTTGTAAGGTGGGAGCAGAGCAAGGGACAGCCCCGGTGTGCTGAGTTCAGTTATGGGCCCCGCACTGCAAGAGGGACATCAGGGCCTGCAGCGTGTCCAGAGGAGGGCAACAGAGCTGAGTATGGAGCACAAGTCTTATGGGAGTGGCTGAGGGAGCTGGGGTTGCTCAGCTGGAGAAGACGAGGCTCAGGGGAGACCTTATGGCTCTCTGCAGCTGCCTGAAAGGAGGCTGTGGTGAGGTGGGGGTCCGACTCTTCTCCCCCGTGCAAGCAGTAGGCCAAGAGGGAATGGCCTTATGTTTTGCCAGGGAATATTCAGATGGAACACTAGGAAACATCTCTGAAAGAGTGGCCGTGCGCTGGCACAGGCTGCCCAGGGAGGTGATGCAGTCACCATCCCTGCAGGTGTTTAGGAACCATGGACATGTGGCTCTGAGGGAAGTGGTTAGTGGGGATGGTGGGGATGGGCTAGAGCGTGGACTGGATGGTCTTAGAGGTCTTTTCCAGCCTTAATGATTCTGTGATTCTAGTGGTGGTGGAACTGAACTCCACACAGAGGGAGCTTCGGTGACCCGGAGTTGGAATGCACCATCTTTGTGGTGTGAGTAAGGGATGGATGGGAGGGCTGGGATGGGAGCTTCATCGAGGGAGTCACAAGCTCTGCCGTATGCTGCTTTAGAAGAAAAGCAACTGAATAATAACCATGGGGACTCCTCTCTGCTGACATAATGCAGATCGTCAGCTCTCTGTTTCTGGCAGAACAAACAAGCCCCGCATGCACAGGCGCCTCGCCCAGAGTGAATGAGCACAGTGCATGGGCTCTGTATATAAGCCCTTTCCCGGGCCAGAGAGAGCTATTTATCTTACAAACAATGATGAGAGCCACAGGGAAATGCCTGGAGTGCCTGTGGAGAGCAGCTGATGTCTATCAGCAGACTATGGTGTCCTGTCAGCCAAAGGAGCGTCTGTGCATTCAGGGTAAGTAGTAGTAGGCTGCACTGCATGCAGCTCAGAGCCCCGGAGTCAGCCTCTAGTAGAAAGCAGAGACCACTCAGCCAGGCTGATGTCTCCATCACCTGGGCCTGGGTTCTGCTCTCAGTGACTGCTTTCATCAGCGTGTGCAACCTGCAAGTTCCCAGCCCAAGGGAAGCATACAGAGGAAGGTTCCTTTTCATGGACAGTCCTGTAACTGGAACAACTGGAGCTCAAAGAGGCAGGATGGAAGATAAGGACCAGAGAGAGCATTCTTGCTGGCACGAATCAACTCTTGCTCTGTACAAGGTGGGATCGTTTCTGGTTCCACGGAGCACATGGTGGCGTTGCTCCATATGTGAGATCCTCTGAGCGAGGGGGGTCACTTGAAAGAGCTAATGTGTTAAAGTCTGAAGACCATGGAAAGCTCACACGTTCTCTGCTTGATGTCTTGTTGCAGGGTCCCACTTCTCCTGTCCATGTGATGCAGTGTCAGCTCACTGAGGGGGTGTAACTACTGCTGCATTACTGCAGTCTGTTGTGCCTCTGCTTTAAATGTGTTGACTTCTTGACCTTTCTCATTTATTTTTAGTGGAGGATGAAGCCCAACTCTAGACCTTTGGAAATCTGGATTAAAGTAAAATATCCCAGGAGACCAAACTGACTCTTCCCACGGCACTGTTGCATCTTTTTAGTATCTTTATTACATCTTGGTCTCAGGGCTGTCTCAGATGAAGACAGAGGCCTGTGAATGCTTCCTGTTCATTTTGCAGCCAAAGGCGGAGTCTCACATTCCTCACCATTAGAGGTGAGGTGGGCTTGGGGCTGCCCAAGCTCTTATCATGCTTTGGTTGCTGTGCTAAACCAGCCAGAACTTAGCCATGAATTGAACCAGATTAACAGCGTCTTGGAGTCGCTGTCGGGCTTTTAATGTAAGACTCAGTGTCTGTTCATTTCTGCAGTGGCAGATTGTGGCAGTTTTGTAGCAGCTGTGTTTTTATTTTGTCTGATGGAGAACTCCAGCAACTGGTGATAAAGAGGAAGGTGTTATTCTGGGATGAATGTAGCCCTTCCTGCTGGGCAGCCTTGAAATCTTCCCTGGGAAGTGTGCCTTGCAGTCAGGGGATTTTGCACGGTTGGAGCATCATGTGTATTTTGGAGGTCCTTGCAGGGTGTGAGGTGAACTAAGCAGCCTGGAGGCTTGCTGAGCACCCCATTGTTTAAGGGACACCAGAAAAACAATAGCTGATGTCCTGAGGAAGTGGCTGCGTTGAGGAAGGGGAGCAAAGTGTTTGACCTGTGGTGGCCTTGCTGTGTGGGCAGCTGTGACTTTGAAACACCCCTGTCCTGGCCCATGCCCAATCTCTGCAGCAGCACAGCCAGCAATAGGTTAAGCTACATAATGAAGCACTGAATAAATCATTTTCTCAGCTCACAGAATCTGTTCTCTACGAGTGGATTGTAATATTTGTGAGGAAACCTCATACCTGGTTTGCCTTACTGATCACGAGATGTGGTTTTAACAGTCTGCAAAGGATGCACAGATAGCTTCTGTGCTGCTGCCTCTTGTTAAATGCAGGAGGACTGGGATACCTCTGTGAGGGTAGATGTGGGCTGCAGTGAGGTAGACCTAAATGCTGCTCTGGGGGGTAGGGTGCATGTACAGGCTAGGGGCAGGGCCCTTGTTTCCACAGGAAATGCCTTCTGGTGAAGAGAAGCCTACCTCTTCAGTGCAGAAGGGAAAAATCAGCTGTGTTCTTCAAGCTGTCAATAAGTGGAAATAAACAATATGGGCTCCATTGGTCCACACTTCCTCCTATGGGACATTAATAGCTGCATTTTGCAAAGCAGCAGTGGTTCCCCCATTAGAGGGATAAAACAGAACCACAATTCTTCCCTTTGTGGGATATGGGTTACGTCTCGGACATTTTCCAGCCTGAGGGGTAAACATCTCTTAGGCAGAGCTGCAAAACAGCTTTGCTCACGTCAGGCTTTGAAAACAACTCCTCATTTAATTTTAACCAGAGATTGGCACTCCCTGGGGAAAGCAGAGCTCTGCACTCACCTGGTTCTTTCTCAGATCCCTTCCAGGGAGAGCTCTGCCACCCTCCACAGCCAGCCCCCTTTGGCTGAGTGTTGCACATAGGTAGCCTTGGATTCTGCTAGCCAACTGCCACAGGCTGTGCTGCATATTAAAATCATGCTGGGAGAAGATAGCAGCAGTCTCTGGCATGGGAGAATAATTGAGACCCCTTTGTTTCCCAGGAAGTTTGGAACGGAGGTCCTTTTTCTCTGTGCCCTCTGTGTTGAAGTTGCACTTGGTGACCACATGGTACACAAAGATGGCACATGCCAAGCCTCACCTGGTCCTTAAAACCCATCAGAAGTGACAGGCCCCGCAGCAAAGGCCTTGCAATCACCCAGTGCTTAGAATTTCTTCCTCTTTGCAGGACCCTCCATTGTGACCCCTCCTAAGGACATCTGGAATGTGACAGGAGCACAGATCTACTTGAGCTGTGAAGTCATTGGCATCCCAACACCTGTCCTCATCTGGAACAAGGTAAGGGCCTTGCCAGGACCCCTTAATGTCTAGCAAAGCTAAGGTAGCTGATACTGCTTAGTAAGCAACAGGACATAAAGTCATAGGAAATTGCTCATAGAAATGCACATCTCTGATGAGGTCTCCCATCTGTGCAGTTCTTTCCACCCCTACACATCTGGCTTTGCTTAATCTCTTTAATCATCTCTTTTTTCCAAACTTGTGTTGGTCTCAGCACGGAACAGGACTTGTGTTTTTCCTGGTATTCAGAACATGTAGGCAGTGTCCCTTGACCTGCTGTCACCCTGCTGACGGCAGTGACTGAGGCAGCTGGACACAGCTGACCCAGCATGAGGCACTGGAGCATGGGACAGTTATCTCAGATATAGCAGGCAGTGTGCTGATTGAGGGAGGGTGCTGGTAACACCTGGCTCAGTTGTTACCAGCCTGTCTTGAGCGGAGAAGATCCTGGCCACAGGACGCAAGAAACTGCGTGACCCTGGGCTCAGATAGCAAGCAGCAGAGAATAATTTATTCTGAGCACACTACTGCTCTTTCACTGATACTGTGCCCACCTGGAGGAATGGTAGGCTTGCTGCAGCAGAAATATGTGGGTGCTGTCCCTGATCTGCATCTAGGGTAGGTCATATGGGGAGAGAGACCATTCCTGGAACAATGCTCACACATTTGATTTTCTTCTGCTGCCACACTAAAATAATGGGATCATCAGGAAAGGTGTGTGTGGACCACAGTCAACTCCTGCTGGCCTCCCAACCAGAAGGCAGCTGCTGCAGGCTACCAAGCTAGATCCATGCATGGGTAGCAGCAGCTGCAGGTGGCTGAATCCTTCTTATTCAATGGGAGCATCACTTAATGGCTTAAACACTCCTGTGGGAGCATGCACAAATATTCTGTGAAATAAAATCAGTGCAGGGCATGTTTGCAGTACCCAGCAGCAAGCACACCAGAAAGTTGTGCTGCTCTTTCTGTTCCCACTGAGGCAAGGGAAATACGGCCCTAGTGCACACACTGGAGCTGCACTACACACAGGATGAGGTTAAATGTCAGCACTAGAAAAATGCTGCTTCGACACAAAAGGTAGTCATACAAAACTAATGCTGATGATGTTACAAGTAAGTTCTAGCATAAGTAAGACCCCAAACCCTCAAACCTTTCCGACCTTCTGTTTAGATCATTCAAGGACAGTATGGTATCCAGAGAATGGAGCTTCTGCCTGGCGACCGAGAAAATCTGGCTATTCAGACCCGAGGGGGCCCTGAGAAACATGAAGTGACCGGCTGGGTACTGGTATGTACTTTGTGCAAACTGTTTGCAAACCCCTGTAGAGAAGATGTATTGCAATGTATAGGAAACTTAGAGGAAAACAATCTCTGTGTGTAGAAAGTAATCAGTACAGAGGACCTAAGACCCCCCCCTTCTGAGACCTAGATTTTAGCATTGTCTTTGCTCCAGTGACACACACCACCTGCCTGGAGAATACCACCACAATATAAACCAAGCAGCTGTTAGAGCAGGCAGAAGCAACCGTGCAGTCAGTATGGTCTATAAGGGTTAACAGATACTTTATCCTTTCTGCTAATCTCATTACTTAATTAGGAAATTAACAACTTCTGCCCTGAGGTATTTTTTTTATAAGTATCTCTGCTTCTTCACAGGACACTTACTGGGGAGGGGGTGTTTCTTTCCCTAGATATCTCCTCTGAGCAAAGAAGATGCTGGAGAATATGAATGTCACGCATCAAATGCCAAAGGAGAGGCAACAGCTTCTGCAAAAATTCATGTTGTGGAAACTCTGCATGAAATAGCCCTGACAAAGGGTAAGTAGTGTGACTGAATATTCAGTAGCTCTCTCCCCTCTCAACTTAATTATTTGATGCAGAACAACCATTCCTATTTAATACTGTCAGATTGAGATGCAGCTTCCAGTAGGTTTGGAAGGACACTGTCAGCCCCTTTCAGTTGCTAGAGTTCTCATAGTTTTGTCACATAACCCAAGAATGCTGTAAAGTACTGGAGATTAAGATGCCAAATGAAAAACAGCTTTTAGATAATTGTGGGTTTTTTTCTACAGCAACTTTCATTGCATTTCTAGCCCTTAATTAGTACCCTTATTCCAGTGTTCTCAGAACACTTCCAAGCCTGCCCATTTCACTTGGGAGCAAGATTGATATAATCATCCCAAGACAGAACAGGGAGTTCAAGCACTCCAAATTCTTTAATCTTTCTTTAGTTTAAATGGAGTGGCTTTATCAGCAGGATAAAGCAGGGTCCTTATATCCCTGAGTAGCTGAAGGGCTTTCGGACAATATTAACAGCATCTGGTGTTGAATTAACAGAATAAAATGAATCCTAACATCACTTTAAGCATAGCAGCTTTTACCAAGGGTTTTGTAGCTAGTCTCTCTTTTCAGACATCATTCTTATGGCTAGCACTGAGTTTTGCCACAAATAGCAGGAACTTGTGAGCTAGAATTTAAGATAGTAGAGTTACTGAGAGGGAGAGCAAGGGTGGAGTGCTGAATGTGTTGCCTTGTGGTTTACGTCTTCTGTGCGCACAGCTACTGCTGTTTCTTGTCAGCTATAGGAAAGCTCCCAAGTAAGCAGTCTGTAGCTAAGCAATAAGCTGGCAGGCCCCCATTTTTTGAGAAGGAGCTGATAATATTAATGGGTTATTTTCAGATGGAACAGGCTGCTCCATAGCTATACGCTACGCCCTTAGGGAGTCAGTGCCTGATTTCTCAGTGATCTCAACCCAGAAAAATGCCACCTACCACCCTCCCGCTGCAGCTGGCATCCTCCTGTGGGGAGAGAAAGAAAGCACCCTCAGATAAGACATTAGAAAAGTCACTTCGCAGGCTGCTGTCCGAGCTCTGACATTACCCCTTGAAACAGTGTGCAGCATAACATGTTTCTGTTTTTCCACAGATGATGGTGCAGAGCTGTGATGTGAGGACTTTCACTTATGCACCGTTTTAAGTTAGTATTTTGGAAAGCTGCAGCCTCAGGCTTTTTCTAGCTCACTAATCGTTCTCTTACCTCCTTTATTCTTTGATTACCCATTTGCTTGCACACTTCCTTTGCAGATATACAAATAAAGAGATTCACGAGTTCAATTACAAATTTTAATTCTATTTACAGGAAATAAACATACTTTTAAAGAGCACACAGCTGATGAGTAAGACTATTTTAAACACAACCTACACAAAATGAAACAAAATCTAAATACTTCAGTCTCACATTTTAAAAAACCTCATTAAGAAGCTAAACACTCATCATCCGAGGTGCAATGCTCATAGACATCAGTTCTTGGAAGAGGAGTTTGCAGGCATAAGGCATTCGAACCAAAGATATCTGGGAAGAGATTTCAAGAGAGTTGTGATTGATTAATAAATAACTACCCAACTACCTTGTCAAGTTTTTTGACTCCAAACTGGATCTGAATGATTCTATCAAACTCAAAGAGGGTTTGATAGAAGTAGAAGAGGGTGCATTTAGGTTGGATATAAGGAAAAAGTCATTTTACAGTGAGGGTGGCGAGATGAGGCAATGGCACAGATTGCCCAGAGAGTTGATGGAAGCCCTGGAGACATTAAAAGGCTGGATGGGGCTCTGAGCAACCTGATGTAGTTGTCCCTGTTCATTGCAGGGGAGTTGGACCAAATAGCTTTTAAAGGTCCTTTCCACCTCTGTGTATTCTATGATTCTGAATCACGCATGAAAGCATTTAACAAGGATTGCTTAAGGACAGCAAGAAAGCAAGAGGGAAGCAGAGACAGTCTATAGAGTGTACAAAACAGCTATTCAGAATTAACTTTTGAAAAAGAAAAAAAAAATGGCAGCCAAGGGATCTGATCTTCAGTAAGAGTAATTTAAACAGGGGCACATTCGCACAGCAAAGCATGCCTCCTGTGCACTAACTACAGTTAAGATTTCCAGCACACATCCCTACAAGCAGCAGTCAGTTTCCAGCACACCAAAAAACCTATTTAAAGTGATTCTTTATCTGCTGCCAATCTGCCTTGACACAGCTCTGTAGCTATGCACACACTATAAAATAAACACTATTAAATAATAATTACTGTACAAAAAAAGCACATGCTATAAATAATCACGAAAAAAAGTGCTACACAAAAGACCTCCCATGGGAACCCCACTCTCAGGCATAAAGTATCTCCATGGGGACAACCACAGTTCTAAATTCCTGCAAATTGGAATTTTACTGTTTAATATTCTAAAAATAAGCTCTCCAACTGTTCACTTTTGAAATCTCTCCACTGCAAAATAGTTGAGCAGCATTTCCTGCCAAGTGACGGCCCAACAGTCTAACAGGAAACATCCAAATCAACTAGGATACTGTAAACACTTAAGTAAGTAGTTATGAAGCTAAAAAAGCACTTGTTCTCATGTTTCTTTTTAAACATTTCTGTTTAAACCTAACTTCTCCCTTCTCCTGTTCACGGGAGTCACATTTCCTCTGAATCACTGGATGGTGAAGCCCACACTTACCTGTGTTTTATTTCGGCATCCTCGGCATTCGTATGTGTGAGTCCTTGTGTTTGCAATTGCCATGATTCCACAGAGGTTACATACGTGGACTTGGTATGGGTCTGATGCCTCAAACAATCTCTCTCTCAAAAACTGGGCTGCTCCATGGGCAATCTGACAGTCTCGTTCCATTTCTCCAAAACGAAGGCCACCATCACTAGGTACAAAAAAAAAACAAAACAAAAAAACTTTTTGAGTTCTCTGGCACAATACATCAGTGCTTGTTGCTACAACAGGTAACCTGACAGAGACAGAACAGCAATATTCCAAGGCAGGAGTAAATCTGGGCATTAATTTTCCTCCTTGAATAAAAAGTAAATGTTGTAAGTAAATGCTAACACAATCATTGTTAACTGCTGCAGACACATGGCTAGGTATTTGTAAAGCAGCTATCAGATACCAAACAGATACAGCACAAATATATAGCAAAGTGATTCAAACCATTAAATCATCCTCTACTCCTCTGTGCTGGTTCAACACACGGACAATCACTTATCCATTATTATGATGGGTAAAACAGACCCAACTTGGCAAATTTTTTAAATTTTTATATTTTTTCAAGACACCAAGATTACAAGAAACTACAACACTGAAAAAAAATTCTATCCCTATCCCTTCTTCTCTGGCACAACATCACTCCTTCACTTCTGGATTTTCTTTATACCTCCTCCTCCTCAATAAGTAAAACACTTGGTTTCTGCTGCTCCTTCCTCTCAGACTGTTCCAACATGCATCTTCCCAGCAGATCTCTGTTCCCCACTAGCTGCTGTACCATAGGTGCTTTCCATGGGGCGCAGTCCTTCTGGAACAGATTGCTCCAGCAGCCACAGTTTCTGACAGACTACACACTCCAGCGTGGGCTTCACTCCACAAAAAAAGCAGCTAACTTGGCAGCTAAAGACTTCAAAGGGAAGAGTGTATAGAAAATAATAAACATCCTTACCGAGATCTTCCTTCCATGGGCTGTCTGTTAAGTATCTGGATGGGCCCTCTTGCACGAGAATGGATTTTGTCATCTACCATGTGCTTCAGCCGCTGATAATATGTAGGACCAATGAAGATCTGTGATGTGATTTTTCGCCCAGTGAAGCCATTGTAGAGGACCTAAAGCAGTCAATGCAATGACTGAACCATAAGCCTTACTGTCTGCCAAACGTATTAAAAATACAATGAATTGATATTTTGGTTGTACCTCATTTCCTCTTAAATGATAACCATAATCTGATAGAAGATTGGAAATCTTCTGCACATTGACAGCATCATTAAATGGCGTAGCATCACCAATTTCTCCCTTGTTTGCCGACACCTACAGAGAAAGGATTTGCAAAAGCTTGTCAGATTTCTCAGCATCAAGCAATACATTTCAAATAATTTTAGCTATTAACACCAGAACTTGAGATTCCCCACCCATGATAGTGCTGTATCTTCTTTCGTTACCAGCTACAAAATTTAGCTGAGATTTTCAAAACTGGACAGTATCAACAAATTTCTACTCCTTTTTCTAGGTTACGGGATACGTTTGGAATAAAAGCAGCACATGATTTGCTGGACAAAATTTCCAAGATTGTAGGTCCTCCAAGAAACTTTTCAATTTGCCATTAAGTGAATGGAGAACAATCTTTTTTTTTTTTTTTTTTTTAACTGCATTAGCACTTACCATTTATGTGTATTTAATGCTTGCTTGTGTGTATTTACAAAAAAAATAAAAATATATACATGTATATTAACTTGTATCCCTTAAAATGTGCAGCATAAAACCTTCTTACCTTCCCCTGAAGACATTCAATCAAGTGGCCAATGGTCATGCGGGAAGGGATGGCATGGGGGTTGATGATGATATCTGGTGTGATGCCTTCACAGGTGAAGGGCATATCCTAGAGCACCAAAACAGGCAGTTAGTACTTCCCAGCACTCCAGCTTTAAGAAAAGCAGTCCATAGATTCTAACTGTATCTTTAAAGTATTTCAAGAGTCCTGAGATACCACTGTAAGGAACAGCAGCATCCCTTTCTGAACACATTCTACCCAAATTTAAATCCACATTTTGCATCTCAGTACATGTTCCACAGATTACTTACTCACGTTGGTTTCAATGCTAAAAACACAGAGAAGATAAAATGTTAACAAAGTATTATTAAAAAAAAAAAAAAAAAAGGAATCACTACCTCTTGCCTGTACTGGATACCACAGGTTCCTTTCTGACCATGCCTGCTGGCAAATTTATCTCCTATTTGAGGGATTCTTACAGACCGTACCTGTGAACCGCAGGAAAACATTAAATTAAATTAGATAGAGAAAGAAGTTGTTAAGTAGAAAACATGTACGGGTTGGTACTCACCCTGATCTTGCAGAATTTGTATCCTTCCTGGTTAAGAGTTACCATGACCTGATCTACAATACCAGTCTCACTAGTTCGCAGAAAAGTGCTACAGTCTCTCTTTGTGAAGCGCCTGTTAGTGCTTTCCAGTTCATCTTCGTTTTCTGGCAGAGTTACTGTTTTGCCAATGATGACATCGTCCCCAGACACACGTACTCCAGGTGCAATCAAACCATCATCATCAAGTTTGTCATAGATTGCATGTCTCATACCTTGGGGGACAGAAAAAGTTAAAAATAGATTCCCAAGTTTTCCAACATAAAGACTTGGACATTTTGTAGAATTTCAACTGGTCTGCTTACAGTTTTAGCCTGCTGATGATAAAATGTCTTAAGATAATATTAAGTTAATATCTCAGCTGATGCATTTTCTTATTAACACACACATTTCTGCTATTTAATGTGTTTCAAAGGCTGAATCAGTTCAACAGCAATCATCTCTACACAAATGTAATCAAGAAACTCAGACTCTATACCCTGCTTTATCTTACCTTGGCAAGTCTCACGGGTAGGCTTCTCAAAAACTTCCTCTTGGTCATATCCTTTTTTGGACTCTTGCTCTTTGTAGGAGCGATAGAACACAGATCTGAAATAAAGATAGATATATTCTCTGTGAAATGAGCATCATTTTCTCTCATCTGTACATGCCATTTTCATTTAAAGAACCATTTTGCCAAGTATTAAAGCTCCTGTCACTGATGACAACCAAAACAATTCATTTGCCACACAACCTTTCCTTTAAAGTCCTGTTAATCTGACTGAAAAAAAATCCACAACAAACACACACATAAATTTCAGATGGCATTTTAATGGTCACTTTTTAGACACTGCCAAAATACCTATAAATAACATGCTTTACTTCGAACTGGGGAGATGTTCCCGTCTACAAAGCAGTTATTGCAGCTAAGGCCAATTCCCATCTTAGAATCAGAGAACCGTTTGATTAGGAAGGGACCTTTAAAAGTCATCTGGTTCTGACTCCCCTGCAATGAACAGAGACACCTACAGCTACATCAGGGTGTTCAGAGCCCTGGATCTTCATCAAATCAATCTCCTATTACTTTTCTTCTTAACACCACCATTTTGCAAGCGCTTTTACTTCTGCTATCTTGAAATGCTGAGTTTCAGTGGAAATCTTTCCATTTACATAGACTTCTTTCTAGGCCTTTGGATATTTTTGCTGTGCTGCTAGCATACTAAAACCACAACCTTTAAGAACAGTATCATTCACATCTAATTGCTCCCATGAATGCAGGAGATTCCATACAAGTTTCACATGAACCACAGAAATCTAACAGTCTCATACTCACTCTACATTAGAAGGTAGCAGGTGCAAAACACTTAGCACACAATTTTTAGGTTCAAAAAAATGAATAAAAGCAGAAATCCATTGACCAGTTAAGGTTATACAGCTAAGCAGTCATCTAAAATCTAGCAATAATGCACAGTCACATCAGCCACCAGTTGTCTCAACAGCAGTTCCTAATAAGGAGAGGAACATGCCAATCCTTACTGGTAGCAACTGCTGTGCTACTGAATACACCATTTTATTACAAAGCAACAATATTGTCATAAAGGAGTTTGCATAACTGGCAATTCACACAACAAAAACTCAGAATATGTTTTCATTTAACCAGTGTAAACAGAACAAATAACACAAAAAACAAGACCAAAAGGGGAGAGCCAGGAATGCAGAGTGGGAAGTCAAGCTACACAAAAGATGAACCATTACTGGCTGAGTTTTGCTAAGACACACATTCACCATTCCTCTGAATGTGAATTCTTCATTCTGAAACTCCCTCCACCCTCATTTTTAAGGATACCTTCCAGTGTAAGAAAAACTTTCCTTGAGCCTCTGGACAACTCACTACAGTACTTATTTCGATTTCCATCAGTTCAAAAATTTGAGAAATCACACCTGAAAAAGCCTCTGTCGACA